CCTTAATATCCTCATCCAAATTCATTAAATCGGCAATCAACTTTTTAAAAGCATCAAGGTGTCTAATCATTTTTTTACCTTCTTTATATTGAAAGTGGTAGAGCTTTTTCTTCAAATGCAATTGGTTCTCCACACTCTTCGTCATATACTTGTCTTCTAAATTTTGTCACAACACATTTGACAATGTCTCCCGCATTACAAAATAATTCTGAGTTTTTGCAAGGCACAACCAAATTGTAGAGCAATCCCATAAATTTATTTTCTCCCATTTAGACTTCGACATATCTTCCGGCTTATCTCTCAAAGTGGCAAGTAGATCTTGTTGAGCCAACACATCCTTGACCTCACCTTGCCACATTCCGAAATTGTTTGTGCCATCAAATTTTTCCACTTCAAACTTTGCATTTTGCACCGTAGTTCTTGCAAACACGGAGTTGCTTCCAAAAGGACTATCATCTTGCCTGTTTGACATCTTTAACAACTAGACGGCACCCAAGAGCAACTAGTGCTCTGATACCAATTGTTGTGCTAAGATAGCACTAAATCAATTGGAAACCAACACAAACTAACCCACATGAAATATATCAAATGAAATGCAAGAACAAAAAATAGAAAAAGACACCAAAATTTTAACAAGTTCTTCAAAAGTCAGTGTAACTAGAGTACGTTCTCGGAGCAGTAAGAGTTCACCCAATAATCCATTACCAACCAAATGAGAGTTTACAAAGTGTTGACAATCTCACAACCCAAAACTCCAATACACTCAATAGTTCTTACACACCAAAGGAACAAATAGAGAAAAAAAATATAATGAATAATTTCCTCTCTATACGTAACCTAAAACAATTATAACAATTATTTTAATGGATGATTGCTAACCAAAAAAATGAGCACTTTCTTCTTCTCTTCAAAGTGGGGATGCAGCACCCTTTTTTTTCCTTTCTCTGCTGCTCACACAAAACAAAGCAGCAGCAGCTGCTGCCTTATAAAGAACCCTAGCCACCCCGTGGCTTTTCACATGGGCCATATAAAAAAGGCCCTTTAAATAAGCAGCCGGGCCTATAACCAAAGACTCCTTATAATTTGACCATATTTCAACATGATGTTCATCTTTAACATGGTTGTGGGTTGGTTTTATATATTTCTAGTAACCAATATTAAATGAATTAATTCTCATTCGATTAAACTAACTAATTGACCAACATTCCTTAAGTAAAAGAAACTGTAGACATCGAAATTTCGGTAAATAAATGTTGACCGATAAATCAAAGTTTCAACGCTCATGTATTACATAAATTTTACACGTAGCGTGTGTCTAAACAAAAAATCGAAATAAGTTGGAAAAGTCATCAAACAGGACACGTGTCAACACCTGGCAGAAACGACTTATTTCATTTGGAATATTATATTCAAAATTAGGCCTTGGAAATTTCTATAAATAGAAGGCTAATTCATTCATTTGAGGGAACCAATTCATATTACACCTTGAAGCTCTGAAGCTCTGAAACTCCGAAGCTCTCAAGCATCCAGGTTCCCGAAGAATCAAGAAAGCCTTCTTCGTTCTTCGTTCATCGTTCTTCCAAGATCAAGCCCCAACGGCCCTTTGGATCAACCATCCACCAATTCAAGATCAAGCCCCAACGGCCCCTGAAGAACTTCCACCAATTCAAGATCAAGCCCCGACAGCCCTTGAAGAAAGCACCATCGTTCATCATCCTTTCATCCAAGATCAAGCCCCGACGGCCCTTGGATCAACAAACATCAACAAATCCACACATCCAACCGTTCTTCAAGATCAAGCCCAAAAGCCCTTGAAGATCCGTTCATCACTGTTCTTCAAGATCAAGCCCAAAAGCCCTTGGAGATCCGTTCATCACTGTTCTTCAAAGATCAAGCCTAAAAGCCCCATTGAAGATCCGCTCAAATCCACCTTCAAGATCAAGTCCACGGCCCTTGAAGAACGTTCATCCTTAGATCAAGCCCAACAGCCCTTTGGATCAATCGCACATCCACAAATACACACCTTACGGAGATTGAATCAGAGGATCAAAATAGAGAGAGATTGTAACCCAAAATCATCAAAATACAAATATTTGTTTGTGCACGTTGTTCTTGTCTCTTTCGTTTCAGGAATTTTCCGTGTTCACAAATTGGCACGCCCAGTGGGACCATCTCTACCTCTCATCTCTTTCTCCGTTCAAGAAATTCGAGCACATTTCCAAAATTAATGGCTTCAAGGAAGGCTCAAACTGTTCCCGCAACTGGCGCAAAGAACAAGAGCGTTCTCATCGCAGGTGGTGTCACTTTAGGCATCACGACTCGAAGCAAGGCAAGAGCTACTTCTGCCGCCTCTTTCACCTCTGCACCAACTCTGCCAAGGGAGCAAGAGCACCCAAGGCACAAGCCTTTGATCACCTTAGCCTCACCAAAGGCACCAAGGGGCGAAAGTCCAAGGAAATACTCCGAATCCATGCTCTCCGATGCCGATTCGAGCGGCAGTTCAGCCATGCAAGTTATGACCATTGGAGCAACTTCAATCGATGAGCAGCTGGCTCAAATGAATGAAGCAATCGCAAGGCTAACCCGAATTGTGGAAGAAAAAGACTTGCAAATCGCTGCACTCATCAGCCGACTGGAGCCACAGGACGGCGATAACCCTAACCCAGAAGAGGAGCCTCCGGTGGAGAATATCGATATGAAGCCGGAGCCAGACCAAGCAACGGCACTCATGGGATCTCTTTCTATCCAGCAACTGCAGGAGATGATCGCCAGCACCGTCAAGGCACAGTACGAAGGGAGCTCACATACCTCCTTGTTCTACTCGAAGCCCTACTCTAAGAAGATTGATGCCCTGAAGATGCCAAGGGGTTACCAACCACCAAAGTTCATGCAGTTCGACGGAAAAGGAAACCCAAAGCAGCACGTTGCACATTTCGTCGAAACTTGCAACAATGCGGGGACGGATGGAGACTACCTCGCCAAGCAATTTATGCGCTCGCTGAAAGGAAACGCCTTTGAGTGGTACACGGACCTAGAGCCTGAGTCCATCAACAACTGGGAGCAATTGGAACGGGAATTCCTCAACCGCTTCTACAGCACCCGTCGCACTGTGAGCATGCTAGAACTGACGAGCACAAAGCAGTGGAAGGACGAGCCAGTCATTGACTACATTAACAGATGGCGCACTCTAAGCCTTGACTGTAAAGACAGGCTCTCGAAAACCTCTTCAATCGAGATGTGCATCCAAGGCATGCAATGGGGTTTGCAATACATCCTTCAAGGCATTAAACCACGGACCTTCGAGGAATTGGCCACCCGCGCCCATGACATGGAGTTGAGCATCGCCCATCATGGGAAGAAGGAACCGATCGCCGACTACAAGAACGACAAAGCTCTTGAGACAAAGGTGGAAAAGGCTACGTGGAAATCCACCAAGGAAGCAATGACAGTCAACACATCTCCCGTCAAAATCCCTACACGAGGCAAGGCGATTCAAGCTAAAGCTTTTCGTGATCAAGAGATGCGTAGACGCACTTTGAAGGAGCTTGAGGAGAAAACTTATCCATTCCCCGACTCTGATGTGGTTGCCATGTTAGAAGACTTGCTGGAAAAGAAGGTGATCGGCTTGCCTGAGTGCAGACGGCCAGAAGAGATGAATCGCACCAACAGTCCAAGGTACTATAAATTCCACCGCTTCATCAGTCATCCGACAGAAAAGTGCTTCGTGCTGAAAGATCTCATCATGAAGCTAGCTCAGAAAGGAATCATCGAGCTAGATCTTGACGATGTGGTGAAGTCAAACTATACCACCATCACTTCGGGCTCTTCCTACTCAAAGTTTTTACCTCAACCTCCGGGGGCATCCTCCAAGACAAACAAAGCTGAAAGATGGACTCAAGTCACTCCTAAGAAATTGCACAAGAAGCATATGTCTCCTCCACAAGTCCGCCAATCGGAAAGGGGGCAAAGCAGCTCTTGTCAACCCTCAAAGCAACGTGAAAGTGTTGAGGATGATGAAATTACAACACAAAGATCGTCTGTTGCCATCACAATGCACGATTTCTTTCCCGAAGACTTCTTCAATCACTCGGTCAAGGCTCCTTGCTATGAAGATTGTGAGGAACGCCTCTCCAAAATTGCTTGACAAAATTCACAAATCCTCCTCGCCCGCACGAGTCTAAACTGCATGGCACAAAGCTCCTGGTCTGCACGAGCATAAAAGGCAACACCAAAGCTCCTGGTCTGTACGAGCATAAAAGGCAACACCAATGCTCCTTGTTCGCACGAGCCTAAACTGCACGAACCAAACCTCCTTGTCCACACGAGCCTAAACTGTAGGACACGAGGCTCCTCGCCTGCATGAGCCTAAACTGCATGGCACAACGTTCCTAGTCTGCACGAGCATAAAAGGCAACACCAAACGCTCCTTGCCTGCACGAGCTGAAACTGCAACACGGCACCAAATGCTCATTGTCTGCACGAGTTGAAACTGCAAACGACACCAACACTCCTTGCCTGCATGAGTTAAAACTGCAAACGGCACAAAAAAAAATACCAAAAATATGTATGTATTTGAACTACGTTACGACTTGATCTCTTCTTTGGAGGGGTACGTAGGCAGCTCGAATATTCAAAATTTGAGTTCAGTCACACCAAAATAAGGAATAAAGATTTTATTAAAAGTTTTAATGCTATTACAATTTCTTTGTGCCAAAAAAAAAATGATATATATATATCTCTAGGCCCAGCAGCAACCAAAAGGCACCAGCCCATGCCTGGTTCTCTCCCTCAACTTGACAAGCCATCTTTCCAAAACCAATGAGCCCAGCTACAATTACAGGCCCAAACTCCAGCTTGTCTTCTTCAGCCCCGCGAGGAAAATCTGCAGTGCTAGGGTTTCTGAACCACTCCGAGCTCGTTCGGAGACGGAATCTGTGTCCAGAAGCCGCTCCGTACGATTCTCTTAGCCCTCTACCTTCCCGAAGGTGAAAAGAGGCTGGATGAAAAGGGTTCAACAACAGTGGAGCATCTTCGAGAAAGATCTGCCTGAACAAATCTATGTCCGCGCCTTCGAGGAAATGATGGATCAAAGCAAGCAACAAGGCCAGTCCGATTCGCCGAATCTGTCATCGTTCGTCGACCCACAGAGCCATACCCAGCACATCCCGAAGCTCGAGGACTTTCTCGGCGATTCGTCATCAATGGTGCGCTATTCCGATAGCCAAACAGAGACCCAGGATTCATCGTCCCTGACCCACATGTACGACCAGAGCTCCACCTACTTCAGCGGCGACCACCAACAGCAGGAAGATCTCAAGGCGATTACCGGGTTCCAAGCCTTTTCGACCAACTCGGGCTCGGAGGTGGAGGACTCCGCGTCCATGGCCCGGACGACTCAGCATCAGCAGCAGCTCGCTTGCGCCGAGTTTGAGGGTCATTCCATTGAGTCGAACGGGAACGAGTTGGGGGTCTACAACTCCAGCTGCACGACGAATGCTTTGTCGCTTGGAGTCACCACCACTCAAAGCTCTTCCGATCAGAAGAAGGCAATTATCGCCGTCGACAACGACGGCTCAAAGAAGATTGCTGATACTTTTGGTCAGAGGACTTCGATTTACAGAGGGGTCACCAGATTTATTACAAGCTGACAAAAAGCAAACCTGAAACGTCTATTAGTCAGATACAAATACATGGCTCCAGCGAGCAATTGGTTGTCCTTCTTTCTCATGTCTCCCATGGAAATGCTGAGGTCCTCTGAGTCCGATCAATCTCCGGCGGGATCTCGACCTTTAACCCGGTCCGATCCTCATAGATCTGAAATTGCCATGACTCTCGTGGATCTCTCCTCCCTTTCCCTTCGTCTCTGTAGAAATTTGGGGCACCCAGAGGGCACCCAAATTCGGTCTCTCCCTCTTCATCCGCCGCTGCCAACCTAGGCAGAGCAGAAAGCGACGCCGCCTTCAACCTCTAACTTCCCGTCTCCGCCTTCTTCGTCCAAAGCAAGCACCATCGACTGCAGTCCGACGAATCGCTTGCGGCCGAAGCTATTCGAGCCTCGTCGGCGCATCGCGACTCCTCTCTCTCCTTCTACCGAGACCTGCTCCTCCTCTTCAACAATGCCGTCGTCTTCTTCCCCAAATCCTCCCTCGGGTTAAGGACTGCTCACCAACTCCCCTGCCTCGTCTTGAATGAAATGAAGAAGAAGAATCTCATCACTCGGCCCAACCACGACCCTTCATCTGAGCCATCAGACTCTGTAGTTCCTGCACCCGCCACAAGTCAGCAACCCAAACGCCCTGAGCAGCTTGAAAGATCAGATTCCTTGCTTGCTAAGCAAAAGTGTACTGCACCCATCATTGTCTGCCGCAAAAGGAGCTCCATTTCGTCAAAACCTTCCCCGGCTGCTTCTAGCTTTGGTCAGACTCTCAAATGAGATGAGAAGAAGAAAGCAGCAGCTCCGGCGAAGCCTAAAGTTGCAGCGAAGGAACAAGTGTTAAGGCTATGAACACTTGGTGGTTTTCATTGGCGGCGACGACGTCCTCCTCCGTGACGAAGTTGAGGCTATGAATGGAAGATCGAATCGTCGGCAACTACCGCAGCAGCGACGGTTGGGTCCTCGTGACCTCAGCAGTGACGACTGGGTCCTCGTGAGGTTCGCTTGGCGACGTCCTCCTCTGTTCTCCTCACCACTGCGCCGCTGCCTACAACTCCAGCTCTGCCACGACCGGCAACCATCGTCATAACAGCTGCGGTAGTCGCGAGCAGGACTCTTCATCACCATCTCTGCAGCTCTCCCCTTCTGCCCATCAGTTCCAAGCAGCAACGGTGACGGCAAAGTCTCCGACATCAAGGCTGCACCGCTCTTCTCTTGCACCCTCCTCCGTCTCTTGCCTTGCAGCTACCACCAACTTCAAAGACCGCTGTCAAACGACTAGCCGGCCGAGAAGCTCTTCCTTAAACTCCAGCTCTCCGTCCATCTTCGTCCTTCCCTACAAAATCCCTCAGCCAAGCATCTTAATTTATACAAAAAAAAAAAAAAAAAAAAAAAAAAAAGTGGTGGATTAAAGCAAAGTGGTGCTGTCACCACGTGAAAAAAAAAAAAAAAGGGTGGAGCAAAGCGAAGTGGCGCTGTCACCACGTGAAAAAAAAAATAGAAAAGGATGGTGGATCAGTCCACGTGAAAAATTAATATGTATGTTTACAAGTAAAAAAAAAAAAAAAAAAAAAAAAAAAAAAAAAAAACAAACAAACAAATGCATCGAGAGAAATAAAGTCCGTTTTTATTTATTTCTTTCTGGAAATTTTACATAAATTTGCATTATACATACCTTAAAAAAAAAATAAAAAAAAAATAAAAAAAAAAAAGGCGCCGGAGGTTGACTGCTTGAAGCCTCAACAGTCGGTACAGCCCCAGAAGACGAAGTTAAATGCTGTTGGAACAAACCCACAAACCTCTGATGATCAAGTAAAATCTGACCATCAGATTCCTGCATTTGGTCAATCTTCCTCTTCATGTTTGTCACATAGCTATGTGCGAGCTTATGCAACTGTTTATTCTCCTGCTTGAGCCTTCTAATCTCCTGTTTGAGACTCATCACTTCAGCCGCCAATGATTCAACTTGACGGGTTCGAGCAAATAGGCGTTGGGCCATATTAGACACAGAACCTGCACACTGCACACTAAGAGCCAGAGAATCCTTAACAGCCAACTCATCAGACCGTTTGGAAAGTAGTCTGTTATCTCTGGGAGTGACAAGGTTCCGGGCCACCACCGCAGCGGTCATATCATTCTTCATCACCGAATCCCCAACAGTAAGAGGACCAGTAGGGGATATGAAGGATGGGCGCCATATGTTATTTGGAGAAGACGGGACTACCTCTTCACCAAGGTTCAAATCAAAACGACGGTCGGAGGGTCCAAACATTTTCAAAGGTGTTGAAGAAAGAAGAGGTCGGATAAATCAAGATCTTAGAAGTGCAAGAGGGGAGTTTTCACAAGCGAAAATTCAAGTGTGCTTCGAAACGAACTGCATGCCTCTATAAAAAATCAGCACTCGACGGGATTTCAGAGATTGAAGAGGCGAGCTCAGAATTCGAAGAGGCCATTCAAAAAATCGAAGAGGCAAGCTCAGAAATCGGAGAAGCATCTTGCTTTTCCAGACGCGTCAGCACCCATCACACGCAAACTCAGCTTTGCGGAAATCACGGGTAATTTGTCGAAGCGCCGATCCCAGATATCGAAGAGGCGCCAGTCTTTTTCAGCCGCGTCAACACCTGTCATATGCACACTCAACTTTGCGCAAATCACGGGCAATTTGTCGAAGATTTTCGGTGAAGGAGAAATCACGTGAAGTTTAATGTTCAATCATCCAACGGTTGCCGACAAGAGTGAAAGAACAGTACCGGTTATTAATCCATATAAATGTCCACCTTCACCCTTCATAGCAAGGCAAACGTACAGAACCTTTCTTCATCTCCGAGAATGCCTTCCCAACGAAGCCTCTCAAGTCACCCAGTGTTCCTTATTTCTTGGGGTACCTCTGCAAGCCAATGACTCCAAAGCAAAAGCATCTCATATCACCAGGGTAGAAAGCAAGAGTATCTCATATCATGCGTTCTCCCTGTCCTTTCCTTTGTCCTTGTTCTTACTTACAAAGACAAGGATAAAGAAAACAATATGTCGGAACCTCCACTCAAAACTCGGGTAAGGAACCGACTGCTTGGAACCCTTCCCTGATTGCCTACCTAGCACTGCTCTCGTGTACTCGTCTCCCACTGCTGCTGTACTTCTAAAGAAGCTGCCACATCTGCCTGAAGAACAGATAAGGCAAGTGAAAATGATACCTTGCAGCATGTGGAGACAACGTGCAGAAGGAACAAGCAGAGAGGAAATGCGGCATGCACAATCAACTCAGCAGAAGGAGTCCGAACTGAGGAACTCGAAAAGCTGCCACATCTGCCTGAAGAAACAAGCAGAGAAGAATGCAGCATGCACAGTCAACTCAGCAGAAAGAGTCTGAGATGAAGAACTCAAGAAGATGCCGCATCTACCTGAGGAACAGTTAAAGGAAATGAAAATGATACCTTGAAGCATGTGGAGACAAATGCAACAAAGCACGTGCTGAGTCATCCGCTACTTCTTCAAAATCAAAAGTATCTCATATCATCAGGGTTGCAATCACTCTGGACGGTGAACTCATTTTGACCCTCAAATTCTTGGGTCGACTTACTAGGCGTTGTGGGCTGCACGTGCCGATTCACCACCCTTGAATCAAATCCTTAAAGATCAAGTCACCAATTGGAAGAAGAGCCCATCAATCTTGAAGATCATACCGTTGACCAAACTGCTCAGGTGTGAATTAGAAAGATTGAACAAAGCAACAAGTCGTCACCTTCACCTCGTGCCTGCTTGCCATGTGTTCGAGTCAACCTTTAAGAATCAAGCCTCAACGGCCCTTGAAGAAGTTTCCGGCCAAATTCAAGATCAAGCCTCGACGGCATTTGAAGAAATCACAAGTCCGATTCAAGATCAAGTGTCTACCACCCTTGAATCAAAACCTAGTTCAAGAATAAGCTGTGGAAAATCAACAATTGGAGGAATCCAGAAAATCCTCCAACCCAGTTCAAGATCAAAGCTGTGGAAAGTCAACAAGCGCAACAAAATACGTGCCGATTCATCCACTACCAAAGCCAAAGATCATCTACCACATGAAGCTCCTTGTGGCCCAATTTCAACCTTCAAGATCAAGCCTCGACGGCCCTTGAAGAAATCTCCAACCCAATTCAAGATCAAGCCTCAACGACCCTTGAAGAAATCTCCAACCCAATTCAAGATCAAGCCTCAACGGCCCTTGGATCAACATCTACAATAAGGGACTTCAAAACACATATCCTACACATGACAAGCACATGTATACGACGCGCCTTGAAGTGGGGGCATTTGTAGACATCGAAATTTTGGTAAATAAATGTTGACCGATAAATCAAAGTTTCAACGCTCATGTATTACATAAATTTTACACGTAGCGTGTGTCTAAACAAAAAATCGAAATAAGTTGGAAAAGTCATCAAACAGGACACGTGTCAACACCTGGCAGAAACGACTTATTTCATCTGGAATATTATATTCAAAATTAGGCCTTGGAAATTTCTATAAATAGAAGGCTAATTCATTCATTTGAGGGAACCAATTCATATTACACCTTGAAGCTCTGAAGCTCTGAAACTCCGAAGCTCTCAAGCATCCAGGTTCCCGAAGAATCAAGAAAGCCTTCTTCGTTCTTCGTTCATCGTTATTCCAAGATCAAGCCCCGACGGCCCTTGAAGAAAGTGTTCTTCGTTCATCGTTCTTCCAAGATCAAGCCCCAACGGCCCTTTGGATCAACCATCCACCAATTCAAGATCAAGCCCCAACGGCCCCTGAAGAACTTCCACCAATTCAAGATCAAGCCCCGACAGCCCTTGAAGAAAGCACCATCGCTCATCATTCGTTCATCCAAGATCAAGCCCCGACGGCCCTTGGATCAACAAACATCAACAAATCCACACATCCAACCGTTCTTCAAGATCAAGCCCAAAAGCCCTTGAAGATCCGTTCATCACTGTTCTTCAAGATCAAGCCCAAAAGCCCTTGGAGATCCGTTCATCA